GTGAAACTGTCGCCACTTTCGAAGCCTGCTGAAGGGGCCCAGCACAGTGGGTACCCACTTGCAAATTCAAATTAGACCTCGCCACCCCTGGGGGGCTGCGATCTGCGAAACTGTCGCAACTTTCGAGGGCTGCTGAGGGGCCCAGCACAGTGGGTACTCACCGGAGACTCAAATTAGACCTCGCCATCCTTGGGGGGCTGCGATCTGTGAAACTGTCGCCACTTTCGACGGCTGCTGAGGGGCCAAGCACAGTGGGTACTCACCGCAGACTCAGACTAGACCTCGCCATCCCTGGGGGGCTGCGTTCTGTGAAACGGTCGCCACTTTCGAGGGCTGCTGAGGGGCACAGCACAGTGGGCACTCAACGCGGACTCAATTCCCACCAGCCCTTTAGGGCGTCGGTGGTTTAACGAGTTTCCTCTTCCACCCCTCCTTCTTCCCCTTCGGGGAGGGGTCTACCCCTCCCCCTACCCCCTCCCCACTGACCTGGACAGGGGGGGCGGGGAGCGGTCAGAGCGTCCAAAACGGCCTCGCCGAGGAAGCCAAAATCATTGATTTTACCAAGGTTTTGGCCCCATTTTGGCCTTCTGAGGGGGCAGCGCTAATTGAAGCTCCCCTCTTCTTTGATCGATTTCCTCCAAGATGGCCCCAAGAAGCGCCCAGGAGGCACCAAGAGGCCCCAAGATGGCCCCAAGATGGCCCCAAGAGGCCCCCAGGAGGCCCCCAAGAGGATCCTAAACGGCCCAAAGAGGCCCCCCCGAGGCACCCAAGACGCCGAAAAGCCCCTCAGGACGACCCTATACTCGCCTGGGCGTCGTTTCTGGACGGGCTGGTGGGGATACGCGAAGCGTCTAGAATTGGACCTCGCCATCCCTGAGGGGCTGCGATCTGTGAAACTGTCGCCACTTTCGAGGCCTGCTGGGGGGCCCAGCACAGTGGGTACTCACGGCAGAGTCAAATGGGACCTCGCCATCCCTGGGGGGCTGCGATCTGTGAAACTGTCGCCACTTTCGAGGCCTGCTGGGGGGCCCAGCACAGTGACGCCACACGCAGATTCAAATTAGACCTCGCCATCCCTGGGGGGCTGCGATCTGTGAAACTGTCGCCACTTTCGAGGCCTGCTTGCGGGGCCCAGCACAGTGACGCCTCCCAAGTAGCTTACACATCAAGTTGATTGTCCATACAAGTTTCGGCCAACTCCTCGTTTCCATTGATACAAGTGGGTTGGGTACGTCACAGGGTAATTTATGGTAACAAAAAACCCTGCCACTAAACAACGGTGCACGCTCCTCGTTCCTCGAAGGCACTTCCCGTCATCCGTCGACCCCCGGGGGCTACTGGCGCGGGAAAGCACTGCCCCTCCTGAAGCCCTCCCTATTAGGGTCGGCCCCGCTGGTGTGGAATGGGAGGAGGGCCTGAGGAGGGTCGTGTGGGGGGGGGGGGGGGGGGGGGGAAGAATGTCAAAGCGACGTTGTCCGCCCAAGGGTGGCCAAAGAGAGCTCACGAGGACGTCCCCGAATGCAGTACACGCGAGTTCCGCGGCGTCACACGGCCAGCATGCCCCACGAGCACCACGAAGGGCCTCTGCACAACACGCGGGAAGCCCCGAAAGAGGCTTCAGACACCAAGAACACTGGGATTCGCATACGCTGACCTGCATCTATGCATATACAAATACATATATATACACATACATACATACATACATACATACATACATACATACATACATACATACATACATACATACATACATACATACATACATACATACATACATACATATATCTATATATATATTATCATTCGTACCTCTTCAAGGGAAAAACTGAAAGGCGACCACCTGAGGCCGTCCGCGCACAACTTCTGGCCGTTTCGCTCGGGTCATCCTCATGCTATTGGTAACCGGACACGCGCCTCACGCAGCTCGCAACGTCAGGGTCCAACAACACACAGAGTCTTCAACAAGATGGCATGAAAGCCGTAACACACAACAGATTTCAATGAAGTTGCAAACAGTTGTTGGAACTCAAATGGTTGCTCCCTGGCTTCAGGTGTAGTCCTTCAGCAATGATTAAGATAACTTCCAACCACAAAGAAGCCTTCTGCGGTCTTGCACAAACTGGTGGAACACCATAAATTGCTCTTTGCTTCCCAATGTGATTCTTCCGCTCTGGGCATAGAAGAAGGAAAAACCACATAAAGGTAAACTTTTGGCTTTTGGCACTCAGCGCGGATTTCTTGCATTCGCGCTGGACCCCCCTCCATGGCGCGCGGAGCGCGCCAGGGGCGGCGCCGGAGGCACCGCCGCGGGGCCCAGGCGCGGATCCAAGAAATCCGTGCGGAGCGCCAAAAATTCATGGTTGTATGGTTTTGTCTTCTTCGAAGACAACCGCGTGACAACCACGAGACAACCGCATGACCACCCTCGGGCACAGGTCCGGGCCGCGGGAAGGGTGGGAACAGCATGTCCGCTCCCTGGCCTACCCAACGCAGGACCTCGCGCAGCCTCGCCTCGGTCCGCCCGCCCCGGCGTCCACGCAGGACACGGGCCAAAGCCGAAGCCGACACCCTGGTTGGGAGGCCCCGTTGCGCTTCGGCCTCGCTTCCCCAGCCTCTGACGCGCATCATCGACAAGCCTTCGGGAGATGAGGAGCTTGGGGGACAGACGGGTGCAACTTGAGATGTTCGATCGGCTCCGCGTCGGATCAGCAACACGAATACCCCTGAAGTGGCCTTGCCCTTCTACGGATGAAAACCTTCTAATCCCCATGTCCTCTGGACAACCCTGCGGCAACCACCGGACAATCCGCGGGACAGCCACGGCATAACCACGCGAAAACCAATGAAACAACCCATGCAACAAACACTCGACAAACCACGGGACAATCCGCGGAAGAGCCACGGGAAAACTCCGCGGGCCACCGCGAGACGCACAGAACGGATTCGAAACCATGTTTCCGACTTCGCCATAGCTTCGGCGAGCACATCCATGCCCTCGCGCAGCGTCGCCTCGACCGCACACGCGGCACGAAGCGAAACCGAAGCCGAAACCGATCTCCCGCCTGGGGTCACTCTGACCAACCAATCTCCGATAGCTGGATAATAAGGTAGTTACATGGTCACACTGGTAGATTAATATACGAGTAGGTCAATAAGACGAGAGAGACGACAACCAGGTGGACTAGGTATTTAGATAGCTAGGTAGCTGATAGATGGGAGGTTTTGGGATAAGGTTGATGAGACATGGAGCGGCCAGAACTGCCGAATCACTGAGGATTCGGCTCGTGCCGTGCGTGCGCTGGTGACAACACAAACCACCCCAAGCAGGCTCTTCGAAGTATGACTCAGTAGTGAGCAAGATGCATGACTAGTTGAAGGAATCCATAGAGCGACCCGTAGATGGACGGATGAGTAGCTAGGCCGACAGACGGGCAGATATAGATATAGTCAAGTCGTGAGATAGATGAAAGATTTGGGGCTAGGTCGAAAAGAAACGGAAAACCATCCACTGGCAAATCGGTTGCGGTTTCGGCTCGTGCTGTGCGCGCGGGGGGGCCATTAACACAACCGACGCGGGCGAGATGACGTGCGGCTCGGCAGCAAGATCGTCGGATAGTTGAGAGAGTGAAGAAACGGGTGTAGCTCGGCAGATAGACGGGTGCACACATGTGTACATGCATATATATATATATATATACACATACGTATTGGTACATAGATAGGTCCACTTGGGACTGCCCTGGAAAGAAACTGGAAGCCCCCCCGCTAAGAAATCAGTTTGCGCTTTCGCGTCGTCTTGCGCGGGCATACACCCCGCAGGAACCCCGAGCGGGGCAGCACTCAAGCACGATCACGCCACGAAAGGGGGAGGAGCGCCGAAGTAGACGAAGCCGGCACCGCGGCAAGCCCCACGGCACATTCACGCCCCCTGGTGCGCGGCCTTCGGGGGCCGCGAGGGGGGCCAGATCCACGCGTGCCGGCCGGTGCTGGGGAGACCCCTGTGAGGCGGGCCCACACCACAAGGTCACTCTGGCGAAGAGCCACTCCCACGTGCAGTCGGCCCACGGCAGGCCCTGCGCCCCGCGCCCGAAGGGGGCGCAGCCGGCGCCGCGGCAAGCCCCACGGCAGGCCCCGCGTCCGAGGCGGAGTTTGCCCCGGTGCCCGAGGCGCCCTCCCCAAGACGGAAGGCACCGCGTCGGAACAAGCGGCGCGGCGCCACACGAGGAGTAGGAGCAACGAAAACGATCTGCTGCCACTCCGACGCGAAGTCAGTCGCAGACCGGAAGCAGCGCCCATGCCCCCTCAAGGCCCATTGATCACATGACAGGGGCCCTGTGTGCCGTGCGGGATTTCCAGGGCCTGATTCTGCGAGTCCGTGTGCCCGTCTGGCGCGGAAGCCTGTATGAAGCCGTGTGCGGTACATGGTGTGCGGTGCTTCCTGGCCGTGCGGCGGGTGCATCCCTGCACGCTTTGGAGCAAGCAGACCCGTCCGCTGACAAACCCTGTTCACCGTTCGAGCAGTGCGCGCAGGCAACATGCAGAAATGCGATCTTGGTGGCAGTAGTCCCTGCCGACCAGCCCATGGAAACCACTTGAAAATCAGACCGAGGCGATGCGGCAGGGGGTGAAAAATCCATGGAAGGGAAGCTTGCCATCGCTTTGACGTCCAGCCCGCATGCAGTTGTCGGCTTCGTGCGTTTGTTCTTTCGCATGACATGGTCCAAGATGCTCCGCGATGGTCACTGCCGCGAAATAATGCACACGCCCGAGCGATGCCAAGGAAGCAGGAGATCCAGGAAGCCGAATGACATGATACACGATGCGCTACCAGGCGCCTCCGTGCGCGACGCAGCAGAGGCAGAAAGCAAGCCGTGCATCTGCGGCACCGCCCGTCAGGAGCACAGGGATCTCCTCGACGGGACCACGAGCCTGCGCTCGTGATTCTTCCTGGAGACCGGGCCGTATGCCCGGAGTCAGTGTCTTTGCGGCACTGCCCGTCAGGAGCACGGGATCTGCGCCAGCACCGCGGGCTCCTCGACAGGACCACGAGCTTGCGCTGGTGATGTTTGTTGGCAGTTGGACCGGCTGCTGAGCCTCATGCCCTGAATCAGTGTGTGCTGATGCTGCTGCAGAATGTCGAGCACGGCGATCACGTCGATGTTTCTGGCAAACCCTTTGAGGCGCCCGATGCCCGCGACGAACTGGTCGATGGTGACCTCGTTCCCGTCGCCCGCGATCAGCGTGAAAAGCATGTCGGGGTCGGAGCAGCGGAGCTCCATCGCCTCCAGCCAGGTACGTATGGCGCGCTTCCGCAGCAGGAAGCAGAGCTCATCCCTGGTCAGCGTGCCAGACCTGTCCCTGTCGCCCATCCTGAACAGGCGGGTGATGGTCTGCTTGTAGTGCTGCATCTGCCGGAGCCGCTTTCTCACCATGATGAACTCGTCGTTCTGGGCCGCCGAGAATGTTTCCTGGATGAAGACCCCATTTATCCGCCACCGTGACTTCAGCACTGCGTAAGTGTCCTCAGGTCCCTTCGAGTCTCTGCATAGGATGTTGCAAATACTCTCCAAAGAAGCCCTACCCTGGATTGTTTTGTACAGCGTGGGCGCTCTTGGGCATCGCCGCGTGACTCATACAGATGCCTCAGGAGCGTGGTGGTAGTTCTACGCTTCCAGCATGGCGCAGGATGGTCCCAGGGTACATCATGGATCGCTTTTTAGCCGCCTTGGAGGCCCTGGGGACCGGTGACCGGCCCAAGAGGCCCAAAGTCATTTAACCATACATTTTTCATCAAACCAAATGAACTCCACCTCCACACTGCAGGAACAGGGAAAAGCGACACTAACACCGCCAGGGCGAGGAGATGCGAGTAGTAGCAAGGGAGGTCTCCCTGGTGGTGTGGTCCCCCCTTCTCGCTCGAGACATCCCCAGCCTCCAGCTCTGGGAGGTATCGTGGACATCCTCGCTGGAGGTGGCCCCCCTGGTAGTGTAGGTCTCGCATCTCCTACCTCCGCACAGCACATTATCCACTGCCATGCGGCTCGAAGAGTCGCCAGGCAAACCAGGTGCAACCCACGAGCCGACCTGCGACAGGCAAACTCATCAGGTGACTCGTGGCCTGAGAGAGAGAGAGAGAGAGAGAGAGAGAGAGAGAGAGAGAGCGAGCCCGTGAAAGGTAGCGAACTAACCCCCCCTCCGGTACACAATACCCTTTCAGGTGGGGCGCATCGTTTCTTCTTCACATTTAACAAAATAAACCGCTGGTGAGATTATCAGGGGCCAAAGAGGCCCCCAATATCGCTCCAAGATAGCTTCTGCGGCGCAGAATCGGGCCCGTAGGCCATCGATAAGGACCTTCGATGGAAACTCCTGGGAGCCTCCCGTACCATCCTGTCGGCTCTTGCGAATCGACGCTAGTCGACTCTAAATCGACGCTCATCGACGCGAGATCGACGCTAGTCGACGCTAACTCGGCACATCTCATCGACCCCCAGACGCTAACCGACGCCAGTCGACGCGAAAGGCATACTTTCGAGGGCACACAAGTTTCCCATGATCTGTTGCTGCCGACAGGACCCATGAGGGGAAACCCGGGGCGGCCAAGAGGGGGGCGTCCAAGAGGGGGGGGGCGCAAATCATGGCCGGCGGCATGTGCGCGGCCCAGGGGGCGGGGGGGGCCAGGGACGCAACGAGATGAGAAGACGCCACGATATCCCCCCCCTGGTCATCACCCCCCCCTCTCTGCCGCCCCCGAGGGCAGCGGACCTCGAGGCCCGAGCCGCCCCCTCCCCCGAGACGCGGCACCTAAGACCGGGGGCGTGCGCCACCGAGAGGCCCCCGACGAGACCCCCAGAGGCCGCCCCGTGGCCCGCGGAGCCTCAAGAAACGCCTCCAAGGGCAACCCAATGTCGGGCGTGTCCCCCCACGGGGGGATTGTCGACGAAACATAAAGGATACCCCCAAAAATACACCAGAAAGGCCAAACAAATAGTCCAAAGATAGTTCCCAGACTATGTTGGGACTATGTTTTGACTATGTTTGGGGTATTTTTCATGTTTCGTCGAAAATCCCCCTGTAGGGAGACAGGCCCGACGTAAGGGTAACCCAAGAAGGCCCCCACGCGGCTTGCCAGGGGCCCCAAAGAAGCCTTCCCGGAGACGGCAAGAGGCAGCCAATGACCCACAGAGGTCTGTTTAGACCCCCCCCAACACATGAAATTCATGACCTGTTCCGGCGGCCTTATTGGCGGACTGGTGTCCCATCAACAGAAGGGGGCCTAACTGTTTTTTTTCGCGGCGCCCGCCAGCAGCGCTCTCATGGAACATGTCCGAGGAACGGTTGCGGGATATGCCGAAGGCCACACTTGGCGTGCAGAATTGTCGGGTAAGCTGTTCGGCCCTCCCCAAGATGACCTCAGACGGCCCAAGACCGCCTCAGGGGCCGCCCAGGAGGCCTCCAAGACGCCTGGTGGGAGCACCAAGAGACCCTCCAGGAGGGCCCGAGGAGGCGAACACCATTTGTCAAAATGATTGGTCCCGCTATGCTCGGGAGCGCGCAAACATGGATTAGTGATCCATGGATTTGGCGCGCGGTCACCAAATCCATGGATCGGGGGAGGTGCCCTCCCCAAAATGCGGCCGGTGCCGCCTCGCTCGGCGGCGGAAATCCGCGATTTCCCATGGAAACGGGACCCGTCGCTAATCCACGCCTCCTTGATCCATTTTTGCGATCGCCTGACAAAAGGCCCTCCAGGAGGGCCCGAGGAGGCGAACCCCATTTGTCAAAATCATTGGTCCCACGATGGTGTGGGATGAATTTGGCACTCTCGCCTCCCAGGGCTTCCGACAGCCTAAGACAGCCCAAGAGATCCCCAAGACGGCCCACAAGCCGCCAAGAGGGCCCAAAGACGGGCCAACAGGGCCCCAAGGCGGCCCATTGCCAGGAGGCCCCCAGCGCAACCCCAAGAGGGCCCCAAGACGGCCCCAGAGACCTTCAAGACGGTACTGACGCGTCCCAAGGGGGTCCCAAGACGGCCCAGTGAGGCCCTCAAGACGGCCTCGGCAGACCAGGAGGCTCTCTAGAGGCCCACACAGGCCCCCAAGAGGCCCCCAAGAGGCCCTCGGGCGTCCCCAAGAGGCCCTCAGAGGCCCTCAGAACAACATTCGGATGCCCCAAAAGGCACCTAAGACCCAAAAGTACTCCTCTTCCTTGTCCTATTCCTCCTCCTGCTCCGTCTCATCCGCATTCTCTCCCTCTTCTTCCTCCTCATCTCTCTTCTCCTCCCTCAGGGCCCCCCCTAATGAGTTCTACAATAGCTGGTGGAGCACATAGGGCAATAGCTTGGCAAAACGTCGGCCCAACATGTGGCCGCAAAGGCAAGAACCGGCGGTGGTTCTACGCAGAAGTCTGCAATCCGCCGTCCCCGTAGCCAGACTGAAGAGTGCTTGGCATGCCAGGGTTAATAACCCTGTTCTGACCCTCCCGAAAAAATCAAAGGGGGGGGGCTCTGACCCAACCCGCTGGCCCCGCGGAAAAGCAACATCCCATGGGCGTTTCCGTCCAAGATGGCTCCCAAGACGGCCTCAAAGACGATTCCCAAACGCCCCTTATATGGACAAGATGGCCCCAAGAGGGCCCAGGGTGGCGTTCAAGTGCCGCCAGGACGCCAAGATGGCCCCAAGGCGGCCCAAGATGGCCCCGAGGCGGCCCAAGAGGCCCCGAAGATGGCCCCGGGACGGTGCAAGGTTGCCCCAAGGCGGCCCCGAGACGACCCCCCAAGACGGCCTATAAGAGCACCAAAAAAGACGGCCGAAGAGAGCCCCGAGACGGCGGCGACGAGCCACACGGGGCCCCCACGACGGGCCGCACGGGCCCTCGGGTTCGGCATCCGACGGCGCCGCACGGCCCGAGAGCACCCCGAGCAGGCACGAATGGAGCCCCCCAGGGTGGCCCAAGAGGAGCCCCTTAAGGAGCCTCCACGAAGGCCCCCAAAGGACCCCCCCCCAACTGGCCATCGCTCGGACGTCCATTCCCTGTGCCTCTTTCGGTTTCGTGCGTGGCTTTTTCGCCGATTGATCAAGGATGCTCCTCGATGGTCCTCGCCGAGGGAAAAATGCACACGTCCGAGCGATGCCAAGCAAAGAGACCCAGGAGAGCCCCAGGACGGCCGCGGAGGGCCCTGCCCCGGTGCCCTCCCGGGGGTGCCGCCGAGCGGTGGCAGGACACCAAGAGATCTCTGGCGCGGCCGCGCCCTCGCACGAGGCGGGTCCGATCCGCGCGCTGCGCCGAGCAAAAGCAGCGCGACGGGGCCGATCCGCACGCGCGCCCTGCCTGGCCAGGGGGCCGGGAGCGGGCGCGCAAGCTCTGCTCGCCTGCTCTGCCACCTCTCTGGCCATCGCTCGGACGTCCATTCCCTGTGTTTTTGTTTCGGTTTCGTGCGTGGTTTTTCGCCAAATGATCAAGGATGCTCCCCGATGATCCTCGCCGAAGGGAAAGATGCACACGTCCGAGCCAGGCCAAGCTCTACGCAGTGCGATGGCGCTCCCTCAGGCAGGCCTGGCCTGCCGCGACCGAGGCGCTGGTCAGTGACCTGCGCCTTGCTGAACTTGTAACCTCTTCCTCCTCCTCCTCCTCCTCCTCCTCCTCCTCCTCCTCCTCCTCCTCCTTTACCCGGAACGAGCGGAACGGGCGAAGAGGCGGAGGGTGGCCCCCGGACCGGGAAGAGAGAGGGGGGGGGGGCACTCCCCGCACGCAGACCCTCGTCCAGGAGTTGCAGCGGCCAGCCTGCGCCGAGGCAGCCTGGCGGTTGGACGCGGAGCGGCACCACGGTCCGTCACACGGGCGTTTCCAGAAAGGCAGGGGGTGGCGGTGATTCCCCGGAGGCGTCTTCGATGACGCCAATCACCGCGAAACCGACGGACAACTTATACAACACCACGAGACAGCCAAATGCCTCGTGAACCTCCTCCATGAGGAAACGGCAAACATGGGGCCAATTCGCTAGCAGGAGCTCGAACATGGTCACCATCGATCGGGTATACGTACCGAAATATCTAAACAATTCCTTCTGGGTGTCCTCCGTCAGCGACGAGCCTTCCGAGAGCCATCCGTACCGCAAGACCTGGGTCAACATCATCGCGAACATGGTCTGGATCAGCACCAGGAGCAGTATGGAGAATACCAGCGCTGTCGCGCTGCCCGATAGGGCCGTTGTCATGAGGTGCAGCGGGTCCAGCGATTTGACTTTCCGGACCAGCCGCAACAGCCTGAGGAGGCGTACCAGGCGGAATATCCGGAAGAAGCGAGCGTTGGGTATCGGCCCGTTGGAGACGCCGCCGAGGAGCGCCAGGTTGGAGGACAGCACAATCACAACGTCCAGCCAGTCCCACGGGTTCGTCCAGAACGGATGCCGGAAGTGGATCTTGAAACCGAGATACCAGTTCCAGATGTCGTAAGTGCACGTCAATATCAACTCAACGGTGAACATCAGGGTGAACACACAATCGATGGTGAAAAAAACCTCGTGCGCGCTTGGCCACCACTGGTCATTAAACTTTTCTGAGCCGTACTCTTGGTACACACCGATGCGGTGGCCAGAGCGTATACCCGTCCACTCCTCTTCCAAGATCATGGTGCAGGTGTTCACCATTACGACTGCAGCCCAGAATACCTCGAAACGTGCGTTGCCAACGACACCCCTGAGGCAGCGGAAGACCCGTGAAGCCTCCTCGACGTCGGACTCGAAATCCGAGTAGGACTCCCCCAGCCGCAGCTCCTGGATCACGCGCTGGTCCTCCGCCCACTCGTGGTGATTCCACGACGACTCGACCTCCGATGTCTGGCGGTCGAACCTCTTGGTACTCACTGTGCTGTGCATCGCAGAGACCGTGAGCTCCGAGGCCGGGCGGGCGTCGCCGCAGCTCGCGTCGCTGCACGACGCTCCGACGACCTCACGCCGGGCGGGCCGAGGGCTGTGCTTCCAGCTCGGAGGCCTGCACTCCTCGAGCCCGCGGCTCAGGTGCGCGCTGCTCGCCAGCAGGGGGTCGCACAGCGCCTGCAGGCCCTCTCCGGCCGCCGCCTGGTGCAGCAGCTGCGCCAGGAGCTCGAGGTGGGAGCCCAGGGCGACAGCCGCGCCCTCCGGCCCCCCGCCACCAGGCTGGTCCTCCTGCGGCATGGCGGGCCCACGCCACGCGGCCGCGCCGCGTGGCCGTCGCAGGACACCACAAGTTACTGCTCTCGAGCGCTGCGGCGAGAAGTGCTCGCGTCATTCCTGTCGAGCACAAGTCAGCGGTGCTCGCACTGCATGCGCGATCGCGCGATCGCTAGCACTGCCCTGCTTTGCGGAATTACCGCGTCACTCCCTTTTGCAAAACGCGTGTGCGAACACAAATTTCGAAATGCCATCGTTCCGTGCGAATTCTTACCCTAGTGCTGAGCGTGCTGATACAAAGACTGAGCTGTCCTCGCCACCAGTGGCCTGCCCGAGACCCGGGGCCCCCAAAGCATCAAGACCTCGAGGGCATACCACGAACGCTTGGACCACGAAGTCGGACCGCAAGTGCGCTGCGGGTGGTGGCTTCCGAGAACCCTGAAACCAAAAAAACCTTGCCACCTCTTGGGAAGCCAACTTATACTCCGGCCAACTTCCGCTGGCCGTCCGCCAGCCTCCGCCAGCTTCCGCCGACCCTCCGCCGCCTTCGGCAGAGGGAGAGGTGCCAACTCCTTCGACCCTCGAAGGCGAGGCCCTTTGAAGCGCCTACAGAAGCCGCGGCCGAGAATCAGACACCCAAACAATCCGCTGTGTAATACTTTGCGTGACGTTTGTGCGGACGGTTCCACCCGCGCCGACCATTCACTGCGCGTGCCTTCTGTCAACCCAGCTCGGGCGGGAACGCCTTACGGAAATCACTGAGGAACTGCCAGATCGTGTGTCGCCGCGCCGTTTGCTCTCGACGCGCCCACGTGGACGACGCCGACACCACGGCAAACCGGCGGCAAACCATGCGCCCCGCACCCCAAGAAGGCGAGGCCGCCACGCGGAAAACCCCACGACGAGCTCACCGCGCACGAGGCGGCGTTTTTGCCCTGGTGACCGCGGCGACCTCCCCACGACAGACGGCCGCACGCCGGAACAAGCGGCCCGGCGACCCGCGAGAGCACCGCGCAGGAGCCACCGAGACACACGCTTGGACACGACCCTCGGACCAACGGCGCTCTACTTTAGTAGTGGAAGCAATTGGTTTTCAAAATGTTTGGTCTTTAGGAGCTCTGCGTGGCGACGCCCCCGTCGCCACGCGTGCCCTCGGCGTGCCTGCGGGGGCGCCGCCACGTAGAAGTACTGGAGACCGAGCATTTGGGGCGTCGCTGCGCACGCCCTCTGCGTGGCTGCGACCATTTGTTAAAACCCTAAAACAAATTAAATTCAAGTACCCGAAGCAGCTTCAGGCGGAGAGCCTGCATGCCCCATCGGCGTGACCTGATTCGGGGGCGCTCAGACATGGACCAGCGATCCACGGATCTGGCGAGGACCCCTGGATCGGGCGAGGTGCCCTCCCCAAGATCCATGGATCCAAATCGCGCGGTCGTCAAATCGCGCGGGTCCCCAGGGATTTGACGACCGCGCGGTCGTCAAATCGCGCGGTCCTCGATCGAGGATTTGACGATCGGCAACCGAGGATTTGACGACCGCGCGATCCCCAGGGATCCATGGATCGCACGGTCGTCAAATCCATGGATCGGGCGAGGTGCCCTCCCCAAGGTGTGGCCGGTGCCAGCCTGGCCCGGCGGCGGAAGGCCGCGGTTCCCCTGTGGGAGCGGGGCCCGCCGCCACGTCACGCCCCCTTGGATGCATGCTTGCGGTCGCCCGGCTGGCGTGGGGCAGAAGATCTGAGATGGCGGCTGCTGCAGCTGAGTCGGGCCTGTCCCCCCTACAGGGGGGTTTTCGACGAGGAGCAAGCATTGCCCTGCGACGCACCCAGGCCCTGTGCATCAAGTGGCCAGAGGAGTAGGCCAACAGTAGCAGGAACAGCGACAGTGTAGACGCGGTGAATTGCTGCGCAAACTACATGGGATGCGCATGCGTTGCGCGACTCACAAGACGACGATCGAAAGAACGAGGATTGAGGCTCCAGGCTCGAAGAATAACGGGGACAGGAACGAGGGGCAGGAGAAAGATGGAATGGGGGGTCATCTGAATCTGCATATGACGTCACTCCGCTGGGCCCCCCAGCAGCAGCCCTCGATGGCGAGGTCGAATCTGAATCTGCGCATGACCCCACTCCGCTGGGCCCCCCAGCAGCCCTCGAAAGTGGAGACAGTGTCGCAGATCGCAGCCCCCCAGGGATGGCGAGGTCGAATCTGAATCTGCGTATGACCCCACTCCGTATGACCCCACTCCGCTGGGCCCCCAGCAGCCCTCGAAAGTGGCGACAGTGTCGCAGATCGCAGCCCCACAGGGATGGCGAGGTCTAATCTGAATCTGCGTATGACCCCACTCCGCTGAGCCCCCCAGCAGCCCTCGAAAGTGGCGACAGTGTCGCAGATCGCAGCCACCCAGGGATGGCGAGGTCGAATCTGAATCTGCGTATGACCCCACTCCGCTGGGCCCCCCAGCAGCCCTCGAAAGTGGCGACAGTGTCGCAGATCGCAGCCCCCCAGGGATGGCGAGGTCGAATCTGAATCTGCGTATGAGCTGCCCCCCCCAGCAGCCCTCGACAGTGGTGACAGTTTCGCAGATCGCAGCCCCCCAGGGATGGCGAGGTATAATCCGAATCTGCGCATGACCCCACTCCGCTGGGCCCCCCAGCATCCCTCGAAAGTGGCGACAGTTTCGCAGATCGCAGTCCCCCAGGGATGGCGAGGTCGAATCTGAATCTGCGTATGACCCCACTCCGCTGGGCCCCCAGCAGCCCTCGAAAGTGGTGACAGTGTCGCAGATCGCAGCCCCACAGGGATGGCGAGGTCGAATCTGAATCTGCGTATGACCCCACTCCGCTGGGCCCCCCAGCAGCCCTCGAAAGTGGCGACAGTGTCGCAGATCGCAGCCCCACAGGGATGGCGAGGTCGAATCTGAATCTGCGTATGACCCCACTCCGCTGGGCTCCCAGCAGCCCTCGGAAGTGGCGACAGTGTCGCAGATCGCAGCCCCCTCGGGATGGCGAGGTCGAATCTGAATCTGCGTATGACCCCACTCCGCTGGGCCCCCCAGCAGCCCTCGAAAGTTGCGACAGTTTCGCAGATCGCAGCCCCCCAGGGATGGCGAGGTAGGAAACAAACTGGCACGCAGGAGCGAGCGAGGTGGGAAGCAGGGGGGAAGAGGAAAGGAGGAGGGGGCGGGAGAGGCGAGGAGAGGAGTCGCGACCGCAGCTGCTCTATTCAAAACGAGAACCCAACGCAGGAGGGTTGGGAAATCAACCTACAACAAATGCCCCAAAATGGTCAAGAAATGCCCCCAACAATAGTCCCCTGACTATTTTTTGACTACTTTAAAATATCCCCCCTGCAGAAGCCCGAGTTTATGCTCCCTCCCTCCCTCTTGAGTGTCGGGCGCCGGCGTGCGACGGCAGGGGGCCTGGCCGCGGTCTTCCCGTGCTCTCCTCGTCCTCCTCGCCCTCGTCTCAGGGCTCCCGACCATTCCTCCAAGACTCTGAGACTAGGAACCTCCTTGATGGGGCCGAATAGATGGGGTCGGAGGATCGCGCCGCATCGCAAATGATTTACCGATGCATCGGCGATGCATCGGCGACGTCGGCGGTGCATCGTCTACGCCAGCACAGAGAAAATCGAGTTCCACATCGAGCCGCATCGCCGATGCATCGACGATACGGCGCGATCCTCTGACCCCATCTACTCGGACCCCATCTACGAGGCCTAGAGAGACGGGAGCCGCCCTGAGACGGGGGCATCATGGCATGAGGGCATCCTGAAGGAGTCCTGAAACGGTGCCATGAGAATGTCATGAGCCCTGATCCTAAGGACCATTCTCGTTCCATGACTCGCCCATCCTGGTGCCCAAGGACACCAGGATCCCCCGTCTCAGGGCCCCCGACCATTCTCCAGGACCACTCATGGACGTTCAAGGACACCGGGATGCCCAAGATGATCAGCCATCAGACCCCCGCCACGCCGAGAGGCAGCACTCCAACGCCGCGCAGCACTCAAACGGCCAGGGGCCGGCACCCACCACCCCGGCAGCGCTCGGCGCACGGGCTCCGACGACGCCTCCGGCAGCGGGCTCCCGGCCTTGTAGTCCTCCAGGGACGAGGGGTCGTGGGCCCAGCAGAGCGAGTAGTCGCTGCCCACGCCGCTGGACGCGGTGCCCCCCGTGCCCATGTCGAAGATGCTTCGGGGGGCAAGGAGGAGGAGGAGGAGGAGGAGGAGGAAGGAGGAGGAGGAGGAGGAGAGGAGGAGGGAGGAGGAGGAGGAGCGCCCGTACCACGGGAGGAGGAGGAGGAGGAGGAGGAGGAGGAGGAGGAGGAGGAGGGGGAGGAGGAGGAGGAGGATCGTAGTCTAGCGCTGATGCCCTTGAGGGTAGGCATGACCCTGTCAGTCGGATGGGGCACATGGGCTCTCCCATCATGAAGCGGTTGCTCGTGAAGGTTGGGGTGGCAACCCTTGTGGTCCCAGAGCCTGTGCGGGGACCGTTGAAGGCACCGTGTAATGGTGGACGGTACGTGTGGTCGACATGCCCGAGACAGCCACCTCTGTTCGACGCATGCGGTTAGGCGGTGGGGGCTTCGCGACAGGTGACGTCGCCGCCTATCATGCAAGTTAGCGCGAAGCGTGTCACATCGCCTGGTCGGAGGATGAGCTGGCATCCCACAAAATAGCGTCAGACGCTGACTCCCTAGCCATGTACGGAGGTCCTGTGGAAGCTCACCGGGTGCTACAAGGTCAGGGCGGCTTGCTACCCCTAGCCAGTGCACTGGTGCGCTGTCCAGCTAAGCATTGTAATGAGGATGCCTGACGTGGCCTCGAAAATACCGCCGGGGATTTTGGCCTGACGTGCCCTGGCAAAATAACCATGGATGGTATGGTATACCCAAGCCCAGCTCCGCCGTGCCTAGGGGTTCAGAGCATGCGGACTGCGACGATCGTGAAAAGATCTTTTTCGGCAATCCGCGCTGCAACAGGATGGTGGCGTCGCTGTAGCAGCCGGATCTACAAAACTAGGCC